TACTTTGGTAGGCCAAGCTAGGTGGATTGCTTGAGCACAGGAGTTTGAGACCAGCCTGGGCAACATAGTGAGTTGTCTTTAAAAAACAAATATATGGGCCGGGCGCGGTGGCTCAAGCCTGTAATCCCAGCACTTTGGGAGGCCGAGACGGGCGGATCACGAGGTCAGGAGATCGAGACCATCCTGGCTGACACGGTGAAACCCCGTCTCTACTAAAAAAAATACAAAAACTTAGCCGGGCGAGGTGGTGGGCGCCTGTAGTCCCAGCTACTCGGGAGGCTGAGGCAGGAGAATGGCGTAAACCCGGGAGGAGGAGCTTGCAGTGAGCTGAGATCCGGCCAGTGCACTCCAGCCTGGGCGACAGAGCGAGACTCCGTCTCAAAAAAAAAACAAAAACAAATATATGGCCGGGCGCAGTGGCTCACGCCTGTAATCCCAGCACTTTGGGAGGCCGAGGCAGGTGGATCACGAGGTCAGGAGATTGAGACCATCCTGGCTAACATGGTGAAACCCCATCTACTGAAAATACAAAAAATTAGTTGGGCGTGGTGGCGGGCGCCTGTAGTCCCAGCTACTCAGGAGGCTAAGGCAGGAGAATGGCAAGAACCCAGGAGGCGGAGCTTGCAGTGAGCAGAGACTGTGCCGCTGCACTCCAGCCTGGGTGACAGAGCGAGACTGTCTCAAAAAAAAATTAAAAAAAAAAAATTACAGATGTAAAGATAGTTATAAGGAGGTATTTATAGTAGAAAAAGTTAAAAGGAAAATAATTTCATATGGGAAAGAATCTTGTATGCTAAATTTTTGTTCTAAAATGGCTGGTTATTTTGGAAAGAGGGATGTTCAGGATAAAACAGGAAGACCAAGTATATTATAAATGGTTTGTGTAAGTTGTGATAAAGTTTGTAAAAAGATTTATATATACACATATATGTATATTTTAGACGGAGTCTTACCCTGTTGACTGGGCTGGAGTGCAGTGGTGCAATCTCGGCTCACTGCAAGCTTCGCTTCCTGGGTTCATGCCATTCTCCTGCCTCAGCCTCCCGAGTAGCTGGGACTACAGGCGCCCGCCACCACAACTGGCTAATTTTTTGTATTTTTAGTAGAGACGGGGTTTCTCCATGTTGGCCAGGCTGGTCTTGAACTACTGACCTCAGGTGATCCACCCGCCTTGGCCTTCCAAAGTGCTGAGATTACAGGTGTGAGCCACCACGCCCAGCATTACAAATTATTTTTATTTTTTTATTTTTATTTATTTTTTATTTATTTTTTATTTTTTATTTTTTTTGAGACGGAGTCTCGCTCTGTCGCCCAGGCTGGAGTGCAGTGGCGCGATCTCGGCTCACTGCAAGCTCCGCCTCCCGGGTTCACGCCATTCTCCGGCCTCAGCCTCCCGAGTAGCTGGGACTACAGGCACCCGCCGCCTCGCCCGGCTAGTTTTTTGTATTTTTTAGTAGAGACGGGGTTTCACCGTGTTCGCCAGGATGGTCTCGATCTCCTGACCTTGTGATCCGCCCGCCTCGGCCTCCCAAAGTGCTGGGATTACAGGCGTGAGCCACCGCGCCCGGCCTATTTTTATTTTTATAGATAGAGTCTCGTTCTGTCACCCAGGCTGAAGTGCAGTGGTGTGATCTCGGTTCACTGAAACCTCCTCCTCCCGGGTTCAAGCGATTCTCCTGGCTTAGCCTCCCAAGTAGCCGGGATCACAGACGCACACCACCATGCCTGGCTACTTTTTGTATTTTTAGTAGAGACGAGGTTTTGTCATGTTGGTCAGGCTGGTCTAGAACTCCTGACCTCAAGTGATCCGACTGCCTTGGCCTCCCAAAGTGCTGGGATTACAGGCGTCAGCCACCATGCCTGGCCTGAAAATTATATCTTGTGGTCACGATGATTACAATTTAATAGATTTGTTTATAAAAGTTTAGAGATTTAATTGACCTTATGCTGTCTTTTTTTTTTTTTTTTTTTTTTTTTTTTTTTTTTTTTTTGAGACGGAGTCTTGCTCTGTTGCCCAGGCTGGACTGCAGTGGCCGGATCTCAGCTCACTGCAAGCTCCGCCTCCCGGGTTTACGCCATTCTCCTGCCTCAGCCTCCCGAGCAGCTGGGACTACAGGCGCCCGCCACCTCGCCCGGCTAGATTTTTGTATTTTTTAGTAGAGACGGGGTTTCACCGTGTTAGCCAGGATGGTCTCGATCTCCTGACCTCGTGATCCGCCCGTCTCGGCCTCCCAAAGTGCTGGGATTACAGGCTTGAGCCACCGCGCCCGGCCTGACCTTATGCTGTCTTTATCATTTGAGAAATTCTCTCAAAGAATAAAGGTTTCTACATTTTTTTTTTTTTTTTGAAATCTTTTGAGTTATCTCAGCACCGTAAGAAAGGTAAAAACAGGGCCGGGCGCGGTGGCTCAAGCCTGTAATCCCAGCACTTTGGGAGGCCGAGACGGGCGGATCACGAGGTCAGGAGATCGAGACCATCCTGGCGAACACGGTGAAACCCCGTCTCTACTAAAAAATACAAAAAACTAGCCGGGCGAGGCGGCGGGCGCCTGTAGTCCCAGCTGCTCGGGAGGCTGAGGCAGGAGAATGGCGTAAACCTGGGGGGCGGAGCTTGCAGTGAGCTGAGATCCGGCCACTGCACTCCAGCTCGGGCGACAGAGCCAGACTCCGTCTCAAAAAAAAAAAAAAAAAAAAAAAAAAGAAAGGTAAAAACAGGAAAAAAATAAGAAAATAAAAAAAGAGGAATCTGTGAGTTACCACTGTGGCTAAGTGACTTATTTTTCAGTGTCCTGTGATCCTATTTAGTGATAGCAACTGTTTTAAACTTTTTATATTTGACAAACTTTCCAAAATCAAATTCTTTCTTCAATTCTCATTAATTTTTATTTTTCTTTTTTTTGTGATGGAGTCTCACTCTGTTGCCCTGGCTGGAGTGCAGTGGGCAATCTCGGCTCACTGCAACCTCCACCTCCTGGGTTCAAGCGATTCTCCTGCCTCAGCCTCCCGAGCAGCTGGGACTACAGGTGCCGGCCACCACACCCGGCTAATTTTTATTTATTTTTTCTTTTTGAGACAGAGTCTTGCTGTGTCGCCCAGGCTGGAGTGCAGTGGCAAGATCTCAGCTCACTTGAACTTCCGCCTCCCGGGTTCACGCCATTCTCCTGTCAGCCTCCCGAGTAGCTGGGACTACAGGCGCCCGCTACCACACCTGGCTAATTTTTCTGTATATTTTAGTAGAGACAGGGATTCACTGTGTTAGCCAGGATGGTCTTGATCTCATGACCTTGTGATCCATCCACCTCAGCCTCCCAAAGTGCTGGGATTACAGGCGTGAGCCACCGTGCCTGGCAATTTTTTGATATTACGTCCCCTGATGTCCAAAAAGAGATATATGGCTTATTTGGTATAACGAAATCATACAGGAAGCATTTTTAAATGTGAAATGGTGTTTTTCTTGGGATTATATTTATAAATGTGTTGTTAGTGTGTGTTCCAAAATTGTATGTCTGTGATTCTGATGTCTTAGTATATGGGATTAGCAGTAGTTATGATTATTATGTAAAATTATTGTGTGCCACATAAGTAACCAAATTTGCTTGCCAATTATGTCTTTTTTTTTTTTTTTCTTTTTTCTGAGACAGAGTCTTGCTCTATGGCCCAGGCTGGAGTGCAGTGGTGCAATCTTGGCTCACTGCAACCTCTGCCTCCTGGATTCAAGCGATTCTCGTACCTCAGCCTCCAGAGTAGTTGGACTGCAGGTGCATGCTACCACGGCCAGCTAATTTTTGTATTTTTAGTAGAGACAGGTTTTTTTTTTTGAAACAGAGTTTTGCTTTTGTTGCCCAGGCTTGGAGTGCAATGGCACAATCTCGGCTCACTGCAACCTCCACCTTCTGGGTTCAAGCAGATCTCCTGCCTCAGCCTCTCAAGTAGCTGGGATTACAGTCATGTACCACCATGCCTGGCTAATTTTGTATTTAGTAGAGACAGGGTTTCACCATGTTGATGAGGCTGGTCTCGAACTCCTGACCTAAAGTGATCCACCCACCTCAGCCTCCCAGAGTGCTGGGATTATAGGTGTGAGCCACTGTGCCCAGCCAAGACAGGGTTTTGCCATGTTAGCCAGGGTGGTCTCAAACTCCTGACCTCAAGTTATCTGCCTGCCTTGGCCTCCCAAAGTGCTGGGATTACAGGCATGAGCCACTGTGCTCGGCCTCAATTATGTCTTTAACTGTGGCTAAGATTTTGTCATCCACAATTGTTTTTTTACTCTGATCCTTTTATAGGGCGGTTTATAGTCAGCTATAGAACTCCAAGGTACTCTTCAATATAAGTTTCTGATCACTTTAGAGATTGTGCCATTAGAATAGAGTGAAAAACTTCCAAGACTCTCATTGACAGCTGCTATATTCATGAGGATTGTTCATCCAGTATTGGGCAAAAAGAGTTAATTTTATGGAATAAACTAATATAAGACTGAAATAATCTTTTTACATTTTTGCTTAAAACATTACTGATCCTTTCTGTTCTTTCAGAACCAAGAAAACTTTTTTAACTTTGAGCTATTTGCAGCTTTTAGCAATTGAGTAAAGTACACTCCTGTGAGAAAAATTTGGAACATATATATATATATTTTAAATTTTGCTTGAGTAGCATATCTCTTTCTGATTTCTCCAAAAATTGGGAACTATTTGTGAGCACTATTTAAAAAAAAAAAAAAAGTTTTCCTCTCCTTTCCCCTATCTGTATTCTAATGTCAATAGAATTATGTGCACAAGTGCAGTACAATCTGTTTTCTCTTGTAATAGGACATAATTAGAGACCCTGCATATTTCACCAAGGCTTTGACTGGAATGGTATGCTCTCACATATAAACAGGCTGCTTTAAGCAATCCAGGTTGACTTATAGAGCCCATAAAAGCCCTTGGGAAAACTGGCTTCATACTGTATCCGCCCGGCAGGTTCTTCTTGCCCAGATGGAGTCAGTTGATCAAGGTGGGGAAACTGCAATATAGAAAGGGTTTAATTCACATGGACAAGTGATTATTACTGAAATCAGTCTCCCCAAGAACTCAGGGACGGGTTTTCCAAAGGTCGTTTGGGGGAAAGGGTAGGGTAGCCGGGCAGTGGTGCTTGCTGCTGGCTGGTTGTGGTGCTTGCTGCTGGCTGGTTGGGGGGGCCATCGTAAGGTGAGACAGGACCCTCCTTTGCTGAGTCACTTCTGGGTGGGACTCTAGGAGTAGTTGGCAGGTCCAGTGAAGCCATCATCAGCCAGTGGGTCCTGTTGGAACCGTAGGTACGAGACATGCAAAAAACCCTTGAGAGATATTGCAAAAGGCCAGTCTTAGGTTCCAATAGCATTGTGATCTGCAGGACCTCTGGAATAATGGCTGACAATTGTTGATGTCTACATCTTAGCAGAATTCAGGCTCCTTTCCTCTCCCTAGCCTGGTGGCCCCTCATTAGTTTTACAAATACAGTTGAGTTTTGGGGAGGGGCTATTATCATTTAAACTATAAACATCTCCCAAAGTTAGCCCAAGAATAACTGAAGGCCGCTTGAAAGCTAAAGGTCAAAGGGGGTTTGGCTAGATCAGATCTTCCCCAACTGGCATAATTTTCTCAGTGATACAATTTTTGTGCCCAGTCACAACACCCCCATTTTCTTATTTCTCTTTTTCTGAGACGGAGTCTCTCTCTGTCGTCCAGGCTGGAGTGCAGTGGCGCAATCTCAGTTCACTGCAAGCTCCGCCTCCCGGGTTCATGCCATTCTCCTGCCTCAGCCTCCCAAGTAGCTGGGACTACAGGCACCCGCCACCATGCCTGGCTAATTTTTTGTATTTTTTAGTAGAGACGGGGCTTCACTGTGTTAGCCAGGATGGTCCCAATCTCCTGACCTCGTGATCTGCCCGCCTTGGCCTCCCAAAGTGTTGGGATTACAGGCGTGAGCCACCGCGCCCGGCCAACACCCCCATTTTCTATACCACACTGAACTCCTCCATTTTCTACATGCTGATCAAAACCAATCTGAATGGAGTCTAGGTCTGGCTGTGGGCTGTTGGGAACAGGGCCCCAAACCTGGCCATAAACTGGCCCCAAAAGTGGCCATAAACAAAATCACAAAATCTCTGCAGCACTGTGACATGCTCATGATGGCCATGATGCCCATGCTGGAAGGCTATCCATCTACTGGAATGAGGCTCATCCAGGGAGGAAAACCGCTCAGAGGCGTTCCTGAACTTAGCATGAGCGATCTGTGCCTTAAGGACGTGCTCCTGCTGCAGATAACTAGCCAGACTCATCCCTTTATTTTGGCCTATCCTTTTATTTCCTGTAAGAAATGCTTTTAGTTAATCTATAATCTACAGAAACAATGCTCATCACTGGCTTGCTGTCAATAAATACGTGGGTAAATCTTTGTTCGCGGCTTTCAGCTCTGAAGGCCGTGAGACCCCTGATTTCCCACTCTACACCCTGTATTTCTGTGTGTGTGTCTTTAATTCCTCTAGTGCCGCTGGGTTAGGGTCTCCACGACCGAGCTGGTCTCAGCAGTGGGCAGTGGTTTAGGCCCTGCTTGCTCAACTGGATTTCAACAGTGAAGCCAGATTAGTGGACATGCTGGCTGCCCCTGATCCTGGACCTGGACCAACGGCACTTCCTAAACGTTCCACGTCGACTTTTCTTTCTCCACCTTCCAGGGCTGGGCTGTGAGATTGAAGAGGAAGGTGCCTGTGAGAATGGCTTCTATCAGCTTCAGAGGTCAGGTCTTCCATGAGTGAGGGGAGGTATCTACTTTGCAGCACCTTGTTAGGGAATGCTGACACAGCTACCTCTTCCCGCCCAGAAGCTAAGCTTAATGCCACCCCTCAACGGAGCTTCTCTCCTGTCTTTCACTTGCTGCTGCTTATTTCTGTCACAGAACTTGACAGCATCGACATCGGCGCTTGTTTCCTTCAGTCTCCCGGAGTCCCCATGTCCTGAACACAGAGGAGGCACCCAAATGCGTGCTGAAGCCCACAACCCTGGACCAAGTGACCTGACCCTCACCTGGAGGACCTTCACCTTCACCTCTCACCTGGAGGACCCTCTGACCTGGAGGACCCCTCACCTGGGGGACCCTCACCTGGAGGACCCTCACCTGGAGGACTCTGACCTGGAGGATCCCTCACCTGGAGAACCCTCTTACCTGGAGGACCCCTAACCTGGGGGACCCTCTCACCTGGAGGACCCTCACCTGGAGGACCCCTCACCTGGGGGACCCTCTCACCTGGAGGACCCTCACCTGGGGGACCCTCTCACCTGGAGGACCCTCACCTGGAGGACTCTGACCTGGAGGACCCCCTCACCTGGAGAACCCTCTTACCTGGAGGACCCCTAACCTGGGGGACTCTCTGACCTGGAGGACCCCTCACCTGGGGGACCCTCTCACCTGGAGGACCCTCTCACCTGGGGGACTCTCTGACCTGGAGGACCCCTAACCTGGGGGACCCTCTCACCTGGAGGACCCTCACCTGGAGGACCCCTCACCTGGGGGACCCTCTCACCTGGAGGACCCTCTTACATGGAGGACCCCTCACCTGGGGGACCCTCACCTGGAGGACCCCCTCACCTGGAGAACCCTCTTACCTGGAGGACCCCTAACCTGGGGGACTCTCTGACCTGGAGGATCCCTCACCTGGGGGACCCTCTGACCTGGAGGACCCCTCACCTGGGGGACCCTCTGACCTGGAGGACCCCTCACCTGGGGGACCCTCTGACCTGGAGGACCCTCACCTGGAGGACCCCTCACCTGGAGGACCCTCTTACCTGGAGGACTCTTACCTGGAGGACCCTCTCACCCCTACCTAGAGGACCTCGCCATATGAAGGACTCCCACCTGGAGGACCCTCTTACCTGGGGGACCCCATCTCACCTGGAAGACCTTCATCTGAATAATCGCCGTGGCCTCCCACTACGGCGCAGCCGGGTCGGGTGCCCGGGCTTCACCCTAAAATAAGGCCCGAACTGCAGCAGTCGGAGCGGGTCCCTGGGGCGGAGCGCCTAGGGCGGACCCGCGGGAGCGTCTCTTGGTAACCGTTGGTAAGGAGAGGAAGCCCGGAAAGGAGCTTTCGCGCACGCGCCGCGGGGCCGTCCGCGTCTGCGCCTGCGCGCACAGGAGGCGTGGCCAGCGCTGGGCATGGCGGAGCCAGACCTAGAGTCGGAGCAGATCCGTCTGAAGTGTATTCGTAAAGAGGGCTTCTTCACGGTGCCTCCGGAACACAGGGTGCGCGGGGGGCCACCCGGGCAGCTCTGCGCGCTTCGCTAGCGGCACTGCTTGGCCGGAACTGGGGAGTCTCGTGTCGCGCTGCCGCGCCGAAGCTTCCGGCACGGGCCGGAGCGACAGTCCCAGAGTTCCCCGCGGCGGGGGCGGAGGGCGGGGCGGGCTCGGGACTCGGACGGGCGGTCCCCGGAGATCTCGGGGGGCCGGGGCGGGCTCGGGGATGCCTCGCGCCCGCAGAGAGACGAGCCCGCGCCCTGGGAAGAGCAGGCTCCGGGCTCCAGCTCAGCGCCCGGGCCGGGCTTTGCAGGCTGAGCCGCGAGCCGCTTGCTTCTGTGAAAAATTTACTCGCGCGACGAGTTGGGGCTTGAAGGCTCCCGCTGGGGTTGGGCTGCATCGAGCGGGCTCCGGCGCTGCCTGGCGGCTTCACGCGAGCCCTGGCGCGCGGCCCTTGCAGAGGTGCCGGTGCCTCCGTCTGCAGAGACCAGGAGGGAGCCTCGGGGCGTTGGGCGATGTCGCCCAGGTGCACGGCTGGTGGGGGCGGACAGGCTTGAACTTTGGCCGCTGGTTTGTGTTTTAACTGCTGGCTGGTGCTCTGAGAGGACAAGCCACGTGTTCAGTAAGAATCATTAACAGATCGTGGCTGGATGACAACAGGAGCCACACTTGGCTCATTCAGACGCGCAGCAGGCGCTCACCGCGTTAAGTCCCGTGCTGGACTCGGGTGAAGTAGTGATTTGGCCTTATCCTTTTTTTTTTTTGAGACAGAGTCTCGCGCTCTCGCCCAGGCTAGAATGTAGTGGCATGATCAGGGCTCGGTGCATCGTCAGCCTCCTGGGCTCAAGTGATTTTCCCGCCTTGGCCTCCCAAAGTGCTGGAATTACAGGCGTGAGCCACCGCATCCGGCCTGGCATGGCCTTTCTTTGAGTTCAGGAAATGTGACAAGGATTTGGACACCCAGAAATAAGAAGGGTGTGGAGAAGAGCACAAGCAGAGGATGTGAGAAGAGGGATTAAGGCAGGAAAGGGAGGTTGAGGCTAGGCCATCAGTGAGTGCCAGGCCAGATGCTTCTGACTCGGTCTCCAGGTGTCAGGAAAGAATCAGAATGAGAACAAAGGCCAGCCAGTGGCTCACACCTGTAATCTCAGCAGTCTGGGAGGCTGAAGTGGGAGGATTGCTTGAGCCCAGGTTTGAGACTGAGGGTTAAGAGAAGGGAAGCCGGGAAATGGGGCCGTGAGGTTTCAGACTTTGGTACATGTGCTTTTTTCTTTTTTTTTGGAGACGGAGTCGCTCTGTCACCCAGGCTTGAGTGCAGTGACGCAGTCTTAGCTCACTGCAAGCTGCACCTCCCGGGTTCACGCCATTCTCCTGCCTCAGCCTCCCGGGTAGCTGGAACTACAGGTGCCTGTCACCACGCCCGGCTAATTTTTTCATATTTTTAATAGAGTTAATGGGGTTTCACCATGTTCGCCAGGATGGTCTCCATCTCTGGACCTCGTGATCTGCCCGCCTCGGCCTCCCAAAGTGCTGGGATTACAGGCATGAGCCACGTCCCCCCTTCCTACATGTGCTTGTTAGATCCATGGAGAACGGCACAGACTCTACTAGGACAGAGACCCCAAAATATAGGGCCTTAAGATGATGCCTTTCTTCACTCTCCCCTAACATTCTGGAGAGAAGCAGTTTTTTTGCACAGGTGGGCCAGGCATTCTGGTTCTGTTTGTCTTCCCGTCACTGAGGCGAGGAGAGGTGAAAGCTTCCTTTCACCTGGAAGTCACACAGTCCCTTCAGCTCACATCCCAAGGCCAGATGCCACTGGGTAGCGTTTCATATCTTACAGGAGGTAGTGACATAGGGATGCTGGGACAGCAGCCTCTGCCGCGGATGTAGTTTTGTACATGGGATTGAAAGGGAGTATCTGAGTGGCCGCCTCTGATATTTCTTGCAAAGCATTGGCCCAGTATCATCACCACCTTTTCTCATCAGAAAAACCCAAGAGGCGAGGCACGGTGGCTCACGCTTGTAATCCTAGCACTCTGGGAGGCTGAGGTGGGTGAATCAGTGTCAGGCCTCTGAGCCCAAGTCAAGCCATTGCATCCCGTGACTTGCACCTATACGCCCAGATGGCCTGAAGTAACTGAAAAATCACAAAAGAAGTGAAAATGGCTGGTCCTTGCCCTAAGTGATGACATTACCTTGTGAAATTCCCTTTCCTGGCTCATCCTGGCTGAAAAACTCCCCCACTGAGCGCCTTGTGACCCCCACTCCTGCCCACCAGAGAACAACCCCCTTTCTACTGTAATTTTCCTTTACCTACCCAAATCCTATAAAACGGCCCCACCCTTATCTCCCTTCGCTGACTCTCTTTTCGGACTCAGCCCGCCCGCACCCAGGTGATTAAAAAGCTTTATTGCTCGCACAAAGCCTGTTTGGTGGTCTCTTCACACGGACCCCGTCTCTACTAAAAATAGAAAATTGGCCGGTTGTGGCACGTGCCTGTAGTCCCAGCTACTCAGGAGGCTGATGCTGGAGAATCACTTGAACCCAGGAGGTGGAGCTTACAGTGAACCAAGATCTTGCCACTGCACTCCAGCCTGGGCAACAGAGCGAGACTCAGTCTCAAAAAAAGAAAAAAGTCCGGGCGTGGTGGCTCACGCCTGTAATCCCAGCACTTTGGGAGGCTGAGGCGGGTGGATCATGAGGTCAGGGGAGATTGAGACCATCCTGGCTAACACAGTGAAACCCCGTCTCTAGTAAAAATACAAAAAAAAAAAAAAATTAGCTGGGCAGGGTGGTGGGTGTCTGTAGTCCTAGCTCCTCGGGAGGCTGAGGCAGGAGAATGGCGGGAACCCGGGAGGAGGAGCTTGCGGTGAACCAAGATCACGCCACTGCACTCCAGCCTGGGTGACAGAGTGAGACTCCGTCTCAAAAAAAAAAAAAAAAACAGCCTGAACATGTGGTTGCCTTTCTGCTTGGTGAGCAAGACGTGAGTGGGCTCCCTGGTACAAATTCCATTTGAAATTTCCTCAGTTGTTCCATCAGCTGCCAGATTTCCACACTGGCAACACCGTTCTTTTTCAGCTGGGACGATGCCGCAGTGTGAAGGAGTTTGAGAAGCTGAACCGCATTGGAGAGGGTACCTACGGCATTGTGTGTGAGTGGCCAAGGCCAGAGCGTGTAGCCGCAGCTCGTGGCTGTGACAGTGTGGGATGAGACTGTTGAAGCGGCAGCTGCGTTGGGCTGGATGGGACTCAGACCCTGTACTCTAAACCAGGGCAGAAACTTGTTCGCAACTTTAATTCCTGGTGTAGTCATCACAAATGTTACACCATTTCTGGATAAACGGAAGCATCCAGTTGCTAATGCCCATAAACCAAATGTGTCACGCAGAGTAGAGAGAACTGTCAGAGAAATCAAATACAGAACTTTCCAGAAGCGGCAGGAGCTGGACACGATGCTCATGTCTATAACCTCAGCAACTCTGGAGGGGTCACCTGAGCCCAGGTGGTTTTTCTTTTTGTTTGTTTTTGAGATGGGTTTTGCTCTGTTGCCCAGGCTGGAGTGCAGTGGCATCACCACAGCTCACTGCAGCCTCGACCTCCCAGGCTCAAGTGATCCTCCCACCTCAGCCTCCCGAGTATCTGGGACCACAAGAGTACAGAATCACACCCGGCTGATTTTTTGATTTTTGGTAGAGATGGGATCTCCCTATGTTGCCCGGGCTGGTCTTGAACTTCTGGGCTCAAATGATCCTCCTGCCTCAGCCTCCCAAAGCACTGGGATTACAGGTGCGAGCCACTGCACCCGGCGAAGCCTAGGAGTTTGAGGCTGCAGTGAGCTGTGATCGCGCCACCGCACTCCAGCCTTGGCAACAGAGGGAGACCCTGTCTCAAAAAAACCAAAACCACCACACACAACTGAAGCTCATAACAGCTGTGAAATTGGCGTAGATCATTCTGGAAGCTGCACACATTGGCACGGTGTTGTGTAGAGCCATCTTCACACAAAATAAGGTTCACTTTTTTCTACATAGAGTACCTTGCTTGCTTTTAGGACATTACAAGAGCTCAAAGCTGTGATCTGCATGCCGAGGAGGCGCGCAGGGAGAGCCTGGAGCCACAGAACTGAGTGGCTGGAGGCCAGGGTCCAGCACAGAGCAAAGCTGAGCACCCCCTGCGCAGTTCAAATGAGGAAACCCCCCCAGGGAGCAGGTGTCTCGGGCTGCAGGTGTTGCACAGAGTGAGGATTGAGTGTCACGGGCAGGAGGTTGTCAGAGGAGAGAACGGGGACCCCTGTGGCTCATGGAGAGGTTCCTGTGCAGCACTAGGGGGCCCACGAGGGGCATCGAGATGGACGTCGTCACCAACGCGTTTCCATTGCAGATCGGGCCCGGGACACCCAGACAGATGAGATTGTCGCGCTGAAGAAGGTACGGATGGACAAAGAGAAGGATGGTGAGCAGGAAGATGGGGTGCTGGGACCCCACACTGGGAGGAGGCAGAAAGGTGTGACAAGGAGGAGGATGGTGAGCAGGAGGATGGGGTGCTGGGACCCCATGCTGGGAGGAGGCAGAAAGGTGTGAGTTACCTGAAGTTTCCTCAGAGCGACTGCACGGTGGCTGTAGGGGGCCATCCTCTGGGCGGGTTCTGGCGTGGCCCAGCGCGTCACCCCCAGGTCCACACGCGGCCTCAGCTGTCTGCCGGGAGGGCTCTGCGGTCTCCATCCCCTCCTCCTCCTGCAGGCTCAGCTCTGCTGTCCCCTCCACCCCCAGCACCTGCCTGTGTAGGCAGGGCCCTGCCACGCCCCAGACGGATGTCCATGGTGGCTAGAGGTGCTGATGCGTATTTGGTCAAGAAAGAGTTAAAAGTGCTTATTGGGGTCTCCCTGATCTTCCCTGAGGTGGGGACAGCTGCAGCGACTGGCATCAGGTGTTCATGAAGCCCCGGGAGTGGCTGGGGTCGGGGCGTCCCCGTCATCACTGGGGTGGGGCTCGCTGAGGCCGCCTCCCTCCCCAGGCATCCCCATCAGCAGCCTGCGGGAGATCACACTGCTGCTCCGCCTGCGTCACCCCAACATCGTGGAGCTGAAGGAGGTGGTTGTGGGGAACCACCTGGAGAGGTACGCGGTCTCCTGCTCTGTGCATCGGGCCCCAGGGAGCATGGATCTTGGGCTAGAGGTGTCGCACAGAGTGAGGACTGAGTGTCACTGGGCACGAGGTTGTCAGAGAAGAGATGGCCCCACCTCACTGCCTGGCCCAGCCCGTTGTCAGAGGCGGACACAGGTTGTCCTGCCCATGTCCCCTCCTGCAGCAGGGGAGGGTCCACTTTGACCCCTTAGAAGGCCGGAGGGTGGTATGCATCTTCTGTTTCTTCTAGCATCTTCCTGGTGATGGGTTACTGTGAGCAGGACCTGGCCAGCCTCCTGGAGAATATGCCAACACCCTTCTCGGAGGCCCAAGTGCGTGGCAGAGGGCCTGGGGTGGGGGAATGGGCTTCATGGGCCCTTGTGGTGCACATTTATAACAAAACAGGGCCACCTGGGGATTTGCAGAGCTGCTGCTGCCTCTGCCTCCGCCTCCCAGTGTGTCAGTGAGCTTCAGTGAGGTAGAATTCCTGTGGTGGGGGCATCTGGTGGGAGCATGCGGCCCCGGGGCCGAGAGCCTTGCGAGGGCACTGGTTTCCTGGGCTGTTGTGACTGCCAGTCCTGCTGGCCACTGTGGGTGTGGCCGGGCTGGGCCGGGCTTCCCTGCAGGCTCAGCCTGACTGGCACCTCTGACCCTCTACACAGGTCAAGTGCATCGTGCTGCAGGTGCTCCGGGGCCTCCAGTATCTGCACAGGAACTTCATCATCCACAGGTGGGTGACGGCTTGCCAGAGTCGGAAGCACAGATTCCGCTGAGGCCTGACTCTGCTGCCTCCTATGGAAAGTTACTAAAAGCTCAAGGGTTCCCAGCTGCAGCAGCTGCCCACTGCCCACTCCATTTGTGTTTTATTCTGAAACAGAAACGGGGTCTCTCTGTGTTGGCCAGGCTGGTCTCAAACACCTGGGCTCAAGTGATCCACCCGCCTCGGCCTCCCAAAGTGCTGGGGTTACAGGTGGGAGCCACCGCGCCTGGTCATGCACTCCCATTTTTAAAAGGCTCAAACATTAAGAGCATGTATGGGTTCATGAAAATAAAAATAATAAAGATACTAGGCCGGGCGCGGTGGCTCATGCCTGTAATCCCAGCACTTTGAGAGGCTGAGGCGGGCGGATCACGAGGTCAGGAGATCGAGACCATCCTGGCTAACACGGTGAAACCCCGTCTCTACTAAAAATAAAAAAAAAAATTAGCTGGGCTTGGTGGCGGGTGCCTGTAGTCCCAGCCGCTCAGGAGGCTGAGGCAGGAGAATGGCATGAACCCGGGAGGTGGAGCTTGCAGTGAGCCGAGATCGCGCCATTGCACTCCAGCCTGGGCAACAGTATGAGACTCTGTCTCAAAAAAAAAAAAGATACTAAAAAGCCCAAACATGAGAAAATGTGCAGGAAGTCTATGGACATCGGTGCTGTGGGAGTGGTCTTATCCCCCGGTGGCCCTCGCCCTCTGGTGTGGGCATCAGTGCCGTGGGGGAGGTCTCATCCCCCCGGTGGCCCTCGCCCTCTGGGAACCACCTGCCACTGTTTTTCTATCACAGGGACCTGAAGGTTTCCAACTTGCTCATGACTGACAAGGGCTGTGTGAAGACAGGTGGGTGCAACTTGTGCCAGGCCCTGTCCCTAGATTGTCAGCTCTCACTTGGTGACACACACTCCCCTTTCTGCTACAGCGGATTTCGGCTTGGCCCGGGCCTATGGCGTCCCAGTAAAGCCAATGACCCCCAAGGTGGTCACTCTCTGGTAAGTCCTTCTGAAGCGTGGTGGCCCCTGGGGACCAGGCCTGCCTGGTGGAGGGCTCCTTGCGACGTCAGTCTGAAGCCGCAAATGGCCTTGGGAATGTTAAGCTATAGGGTTTGTGCAAACTCATAAACGCTGGGTCTAGGACAGCCTCCAGGACACAGCAGGGCTGTCCCACAAAATGGTGAGAGCCGGGCTCAGTGGCGTCAAGGGACCTGCCTAACTGAGACACACCTCGCACTGTGGCCGGGAAACCGTCTCTGGAGGGAAGGCCGCTTCCGACTGAAGGATGGGCAGCTTGCATGGTTTCCCTGGTTCTTCCTCTTGGATACTTTCAGCCAGACAGGGCCATGCTTAGCAAGGGCTGAACATCAGAGTTGGTCAGACACAGGTCAGGACGCCACATGTCGTGTCGTCCCCATCTGAGAACAGGTTGGTGGTGGCTGGTGTGGCTGTGTGCTGAGGGTCTGTGGTCCCTGCGACTCTCAGGACGCCGCTGCACGTGCCGCCACCGGCAGCCATTGCTGTGTGCGCCACCTAGATCTGCAGGGCTTGGGGCAGAGGGTGCTCCCAGTTGGGACAGGTTTCCAGGTCACCACAGGCTCTCAGGGAGGCTGTGTCCTGTGGAGGCCTGGGCTGGGGGAGAGGAGCCGGCCGTACTGAGGTGGGTGCTGCTTTGTGCAGGTACCGAGCCCCCGAACTGCTGTTGGGAACCACCACGCAGACCACCAGCATCGACATGTGGTGAGGAGCGGTTACTGCTCCCGGGTCCTCTGGAAGGGCTGGGACGGGAGCTGGGGCACCTGGTTCCTGAGCTCAGCCTCAGGGAGGGGCAGGACTGCAGTGGGGTCTTTGCCAGCCTCCCACTCCCAGGGAGGTGGGCCTGAGCCTGGGAACCCAGGAGGAGGTGTGAGAACTTAGCTTGCTGTGGAGCACAGAGGTCTGCAGGAGGCACGCCTGCCTCTGCCCTTGTCACCCCGGGAGGCCTGCAGGGCCCGCGTGGGGAGCCAGTGGTCCCTGCCTATCCTTCACAGTGTCCCTGACCCAGCGTGCCTCGCGCTGGCGGGGTCAGCAGAGGTCTGGCCGCAGTGAGGTCCGCTGTTCTCCGCAGGGCCGTGGGTTGCATCCTGGCCGAGCTGCTGGCGCACAAGCCCCTTCTCCCTGGCACGTCTGAGATCCACCAGATCGACTTGATCGTGCAGCTGCTGGGGACGCCCAGTGAGAACATCTGGCCGGTGGGTGTCCTGGGCAGACCCGCAGCCCCCTGCCCGTGCCCACGCCCTCTGCGCCTCAGCTCCTGCCTCCCATAGGGCTTTTCCAAGCTGCCGCTGGTCGGCCAGTACAGTCTCCGGAAGCAGCCCTACAACAACCTGAAGCACAAGTTCCCGTGGCTCTCGGAGGCCGGTCTGCGCCTGCTGCACTTCCTGTTCATGTACGACCCGAAGAAAAGGTGCTGTCTCTGCCCGGGGGGCAGGGCCCCCACCACCCGCACTGTCGAGACCGTTTCCCAGAGCCCAGCCTCACTGCGGCGGAGAGGCCGCTCCCCAGGCACAGCCGCTCAGCGGTTTCTGGCCACCAGGCTTCCTTTGAGAACTTCAATCACAGCTGCTCAGCTGGGTGGGAGACGAGGAAGCCGGACTCACGAGTCGCACTAATGCAGGCTGCCTCCTCCAGGGCGACGGCCGGGGACTGCCTGGAGAGCTCCTACTTCAAGGAGAAGCCCCTACGTGAGTGTCCAGGGTTCCTCAGACTCGCTCTGCGGGGAGCAAAAACGGCTGGGAGCCCGTTTCGCCAGGGGTGGGTGGTGGAGAATTGGCCTGGTGCCCTCACTGACGGCACCCCCTTTCTAGGGTAAGAGGACAGGGGCATGTGGAGGCACAGACAGCCGAGGGCCAGGTCCAGAGGCAGAGCTGGACTCAGACCTGGGCCTGCTTCCCCTATCTGGGGCCCTGCCCCGCCCAGCACTGAGCCACCCTTCTCCCTGCAGCCTGTGAGCCGGAGCTCATGCCCACCTTCCCCCACCACCGCAACAAGCGGGCCGCCCCGGCCACCTCTGAAGGCCAGAGCAAGCGCTGTAAACCCTGACGGTGGGCCTGGCATACGCCTGTATTCCCACACCATGTCTTTCGGGCGGCGGTGTCCCTGAAGGGTGCTAGGAGCTGACGAGGTGCCTGGGACCCAGCTCATCCCCTTGACTGACTTCCTCCCACTGTCTGCCCTGAACCCACTACTGCTCCCAAAAACAGGCAGGGCATGAATGCAGGGTGACACGGGGGCACCCGTGGAAGGGCGGGTCTGGCGGCCCCATCCGTGGCCGCAGGGGTCCTGCTGTGTTGGAAACATGGGACCACTGAGGGGTCTCGTGCGGCTCTCCTCCTCGCTGTACTGGAAGCACGGGACCACTGCTTCCTGGGAGGAGTGGCGGCTGCAGTCCCCCCACTATCTTCGAGTTGTGGTGGACGCTGGCCTGGGATCAGCGGGCCCAGAAGACCTTTGTATCCCCCCTCAGTTGCCTGGGGTGCCCTGTGCATGGGTCGGCTGTGGTGACCCCAGGTGGGCCTGGCAGGACTCCAGATGAGGACAAGAGGGACAAGGTGTGGGGTGGGAGCCACAATTGAGGATGCCCCAAGACCACCGAGAGCCCTGGGCTGGGGGCTGAGCTATATCCCTGCTCCCCACGGGGGCCCCAACAGGGGGTCATGGCTCAGATGCTGAGCAAAACTGTAGGCTCTTGTTGGATAAAAGCTTTCTTAACAGACGTGGTTTCACCAGCGTTTAATGTGCTCTGATGCTGACCATCCCTCTGTGTGCTGGGGAGGAAGAGGGTGGGGAGGAGGGTAGGGAGAGCAGGCTCAGCTTCCAGTGGATGCACCCTGCCCCCTCCCTCGCCAGACCCGAGGTTAGGGCGGAGCCATCTTCTCTCCGGCCTGTGGGCTGCACCCAAGGGGAGGGGAGGGGCATTGTTACCACTGGACTGACCAAGACCCAGCCGCCTGGGTGTCCTGCCTACAGCCCCTCCGCCCAGCAGCAGGGACGCTCAGGCCTTCCCAGCCGTCTACTGCGGCCTGTTCCTGCGGCTCTCGGGCACCTCCACATCTGGTTTGAGGTCAGGTCCTTTCCTGTCTGTGGGCCCAGCTGCTGAGCCACCCAAGGGGAGGGCTGGGGTCCCCGAAGCCAGGTCAGCCATGCACCCAGCAGAGCCCCCCAGATCGGCCCCAGCAGAGCTTGGCGGGGGGACCTCAGTGTCACCAACAGGCCCTTGAGGACACCCGTGTGGAGAATCCCTGGGACACGTGGAGGACCAAGTCCTGAGCCCCGTACTGCAGGGAGCGGGCCCGGAGCCGCAGGCCTTGGGGCACAGGGTCCTTCTCAGAGACAGGTTCAGGCACTGGCTGGAACAGGCTGGACCCCTCTGCCCAGCACATGTGGGCATCTGGGTTCCGAGGGCGGGGAAATGTGGAAAGGCTCCTGCGGGCCAGCTTAGGCCTGCTGCCCTTGGAGCTTTCCATGGACAGAGTCCCACCTCCAGCAGGGGTTGGCCTGGACTCTTCAACCCCCTGCTGTGCCCAGAACTCCCCCAGGGACAAGGCGACCAGAGGCCCAGACCCCTCGCCAGCAAAGAGAAAAGCACCACGGGAGCTGTCTCCCAAGAGCCCTTGACCTGGGGCCCCGCTGGCCTAGGGCCGGGCCCCGGGACTACTGTAGAGCAGAGTGTCCATCTGTGCACGCTGCAGCCACAAGCGCCGCTGGGCGTCGCCAAGCAGCACACGCAGCGAGTGGCCCGGGCGGCAGGCGGGCAGGGCTGCACAGTGGGCAGCGTGCAGCTGGCGACAGGTGTCACAGCAGAGGGTGGGCAGGGCGCCAGGGGACAGGCAGCTGTGTGCCTGGTAGCCTGGGGGCTCAGAGACAGACCTATAGGCTGAGGCCGGTACCCCCTCTGCCCGAATACGCCTCGGGCTGGCCCCTGCAGAGCTTTCAGGGGTGGCCAGGTCCCCAGGCCTACTCAGCTCACGTCGCAGAGAAACAAAGGAGAAGGCGGAGGGTTCTGGTTCTAGCCCCTCCTCCAAGGCCCCATAGGGTGGGCTGCTGGCCTGTGGCAGCTCCTCAGCTGGGGGCTCCCAGGCCCGGCCCCCAGTGCCCCACAGTTTGGCACTCTGCTCCCACAGTGGCGGCCTGTAGGCCACCTCTGCCGAGGGCGAGTCAGGGCCTGGTGACGGCTCCCCGTACAGGCTGGCGTCCTCCGACCCCTCGTCCTCCTGCAGGTCCCGATATAAGTCCAGTGGGGCCCTGTAAGCAGCAGGGGAGCCTCGGGGGGGCAGGGGTGGAGGCTCCTCATCCTGGGCCAGCCGCTGCTGCAGCCAGGCCACACAGGAAGCCACGTCCCCGCTGGCACGCCGTGCCTGCAGCAGCTCCTCAGCTGGTAGTACACTGGTGCCCAGCTGGGCCAGCACCTCGCCCAGGATCTCACACTCCAGCCGGAGAGCGAAGCAGCCCAGGGCCACCTGCACCAGCTGGCAGGCGGGGGGCAGGGCGGTCACCATGAGCCGGTGGCTGTCCCTGCGCACGTAGCCCATCTTCTGGAAGCTCTTCAGGAGGAGGTCGTCTGAGAGCACACCCTTCAGCACGTGCACGTAGCCCCCGGAAAATGTCTGCAAGGGAGCGGCCCGGTCAGTGCTGCCCACCCTCCCATAGGCCGGACCCTAGGATACAGTGGGTCCGGGATCTGTCGGCTCAGGCCTTGGCAGCTTCTGATGCTCAGGCCCAACCCCAGAGACTAGGCTTAGTCAGTCTGGGCCAGGCCCAAACACGAGAATTTGTTGTTGTTGTTGTTGTTGTTTTGAGACAGAGTCTCAAAAGTGCAGACCACTGGTGCACTGTCTGGAGTGCAGTGGTGCAATCTCAGCTCACTATAACCTCTGCCTCCCAGGTTCAAGCAATCCTCCTGCCTCGGCCTCCCGAGTAGCTGGGATTACAGGTGCACGCCACCACGCCCCGCTAATTTTTGTATATTTAGTAGAGACGAGGTTTCACCATGTTGACCAGGAAGGTCTTAATCTCTTAACCTCATGATCCCCCCCCCGCCTTGGCCTCCCAAGTGCTGGAATTACAGGTGTGAGCCACCACGCCCGGCCAAATTTCTTAAAATTTAATGGAAAAAACAACTAATACATTAACCTGGCTCACGAATCAGAACAAACTAAAGAGCTTACTGAGAAATTCCACTGTTCTGGGTTCCCACCACTCCCTTCACCCGTGGAGATGGCCTAATCTAGTTTTGAATGTATTTGCCCATACAGATTTTGTTTGCCCCTCTTATGAGGTAGCCCACCCCCGTTTTTTTTCACCTCTTTTCTTTGTAAGGTTTCTAACCAAAGCTAGACAGGTAGCCTCTTAAACGTGTTGTTCTGAACTTTGTTCTTTTCCATTATATTCTAGAAGATCAGGACGGAAGCTGTAGCATTCATTTCCCCTGCTGTGTAGTATTCCACCACGGGGGTGTAGCATCTGTTTTCAGAGCCCTACAGAGGCTGTCTGTGCACTGGGCTGACAGCCATGGGATAGCAGAAGGGTGAGTGCTTTCTTTTTTTTCTTCTTTGAGACGAAGTCTCGCTCTGTCACCAGGCTAGAGTGCAATGGCACAATCTCGGCTCACTGCAACCTCCACCTCCCAGGTTCAAGTGATTCTCCTGCCTCAGCCTCCTGAGTAGCTGGGGTTACAGGCACCACCACCACACCCGGCTAATTTTTGTTTTTTTTTTTTTTTTTGGAGACGGAGTCTCGCTCTGTTGCCCAGGCTGGAGTGCAGTGGCCGGATCTCAGCTCACTGCAAGCTCTGGCTTCCGGGTTCATGCCATTCTCCTGCCTCAGCCTCCCGTGTAGCTGGGACTACAGGCGCCCGCCACCACGCCTGGCTAATTTCTTTTTATATTTTTAGTAGAGACGGGGTTTCACCGTATTAGCCAGGATGGTCTCGATCTCCTGACCTCGTGATCCGCCTGTCTCAGCCTCCCAAAGTGCTGGGATTACAGGCGTGAGCCACCGCGCCCGGCTAATTTTTGTATTTTTTAATAGAGATGGGGTTTCACCATGTTGGTTAGGCTGGTCTCGAACCCCTGGCCTCATGATCCGCCCACCTCGGCCTCCCAAAGTGCTGGGATTACAGGCGTGAGCCACCGCGCCCGGCCAAGGGTGAGTGCTTTCTAGCCTACAGTTAAGTGAAGAACTAAAGGAACCTCAGGACAATCACTGCGAGCGTCTCCTGACTAAAATTCCCTAACTCAGGCACTCCCAGCATCTAATGGCATGACATGGCCCATGTGTGGAACACCCAGGGCCTGCAGCACTCAGCTCGGGGCTTCGATTCATTCCTCTGGCCCCATGAACTGGACTGTTCTTGTGTCCCTGTCTCAGGGGAGGAAAGGGGCTGAAATTAGCTAACTTGGCCAAGGCCTCGAGGCCAGGAGGCAGCAGGACTAGGTCCAAACCAGGGCTGCCCAGCACTGAAGCCGGTTATTCCCCTGCCCTGCCCCGCTGGGAGGCCTCAAGGGCGGGCCTGTCCGTCTCTCTCATGAATGAGAGTCCTGGCCCCTCCGACCAGCAGGTGTCCCCGGGGAGCCGCGGAGAGACGGCCGCTGCCATGGCAACCGGCGGAGGCGTAGCTCGCCCACGTGCGCAGTAACGTCATCGGCTTCCTACTCTTCCGAATTAGCTCAGAGCTCCCGGCGGCCCTGCCCCCTCCTGCCGCCAGGAGCTCACCTAGAGGGGCCAGGCCAGCCATAGGGCACAGCCTCCAGCCCTGGGCACAGCCTCCGGCCCCAGGCCGAGGAGTTCACTAGGTCTGTGCCAGCCCTGAGACTTCACAGGGATGCACCCATCTGCTGTCCTCCTCTGCAAATGGGATTGGCCCATATCCTAGAGGAACTAGGATGACCACGAGACCTCAAATCCCTTCTGTGCCCCTGTCCTAATATTTCCATGGCAACTGGAGCCGCGAGGCCTCTTAGGGAAGACACTGACGCAAGCTCTCAGGGCAGGACCCCGTAGGCAGCACCCAGCCTGCCCTCGCCCACCCCATGATCTCAGCCCTAGGAGTGGGTGCCCCCACACGCCCACGACCCCTCAGCGCTCGGAGCCTTGAGAAGCCCACCGGGCACTGAGGATACCTCTCCCCCGAAAGGCGTGGTCCCCCACAGTCGACGGCCCCGCGACCCGCAGGCCAGGACGAGGGGCGCGCTCCTCCTGACCTCCGCCTACCTTGATGGTGGTGAACTCCTTCCTCCAGGGCAGCAGGTACAGGTGCACCGCGGCGAGTTCCAGCAGCTCGAAGGCGCGGGCCAGGCCGCGTAGCGCGGGCGCCAGGTCGGCGCGGCCCCACAGCCCGTCGGTGAGCAGCGCCAGCGCGTCGTCCTGCAGCGCCCCGTGCAGGTCGAAGTCCTCCACCAGGATCTGCCAGAGCACCGCGCGCAGCGAGGGGTCCCCGCACACGCCCGCGCGGCCCCGTCGCAGCTCGCGCTCCAGGCACAGGCGGTAGTCCTCGGACAGCGAGCTGCTGCCCATCCTGCGGGGGGCGGGGGTCAGGGACCTACGGCCGCGCCCCGCCAGCCGCTCTCTCCCCGGGCCCCCACCCAGCGTCCCCAGGACCCCTCGAGCCTGGAGACCCCCCCCCACCGGCTGGGGGCCCCCGGTACCTTCGGCACCCCCTACCCTGGAGACCTCGGCCCCATCAGCTGTCCGCCCACCCAGCGATCCAGGTCCCTCCAGCCGGGCGCCCCCGCACCTCCAGCCCCTCCCTCCAGCCTGGGTACCTCGGCCTTCCAGGGGCGCCCCCGGTTATCGACCGCACCCTTCTCTAGACACGCGCTTCCGCCCGTTGAGCCCTCTCCCGACCAGAGTCCCTTCGCCCGGCAGACAGAGCTGCGGACCCCGCGGGCGACGGCGCTACCTGTCTGTCCCCAGCGCTCTCCAGCCGCCGCCGCTCAGTTCGGGCCTCCCCGCGCGCCGCGCGCTTCCGCCGGGAGCCGGCTCCGCCCGGGGTCCGCGGCCGTGACGCTAGGGGCGGGGCTTGGCACAGGCCCCGCCTCTGGCTAATTTAGGAGGGCGGGGCCTGTGCGCCTGGGCGGGGCCTGGTGGAAGCAAGGGAGGAGGCGGCGTCCCGCCCGGCCGAGCACCTGCGCGAGGCACCCCGAGAGCCTCCTGTCACCGCGTCGCCCGTCCCCTTACGGGACCGATATCGTTCACGACGCCCCTGGGTCGAGGGCTGCGGGCTCATGGCAGGCGCTCAGTGAACGTTGTGCCTGGGCCGCTCCTCCCCACGAGACGGGGACCCAGCCCCGGGCGCCTCGGCCGCGAGGAAGCAGGTGCGCGGGCTCGTCCCCTGTGGGGCGGGGCCGCAGGCATTACCTGACGGGGATTGGCTGGATCCTGGGAAGAGCCGTCCTGTGGGGCGGGGCCACCTGCACTACCTGGCGGGGATTGGCCGGACCCGGGGGCGGGCCTCCCCTGTCGGGCGGGGCCATCCCCTTGCGGGAGGGGCCCGCGGCGAGGAAGGTGGGCGCAAGGACAAGCCTTTCAGCCTCGTCTGAAACAGCAGCCTCAGGTGGGTGCGGGGACCTCAGATTCTATTTCTGCTGGCTCCGCTTCCCGGCCTCCTCCTGCACTTGCCATCTGCCGCCCTTGAGAGCATCGTCTGGGCGGGTCTCTGAGGCAGGGCGAAGCCGCCCCCTCTCTAAGCTAAAAGCTGACCTGGGCCCCGGATCCATCCAGGCTAAATCTGGGCCACGGCTTCCCGGGGACGTTTTCTTCGCTCGAGTTCCTCTGTTCTGTGCTAAAGGCACTTTCTCGCATTGCCCAGAAGTAGAGGAGGATGAGGGAGACCCTTGGAGGTCCCAGCCGAGACACCCCCACCCCACACCCCCGCTTTGGACAGGCTCTGCTCCTTCACGTCTGTGTCCCTCACCTCTCCAGGCCACCAAAACCAAGGCCCAAGTTTGTTGAAACTTTCTCTGGGCCTGGGCGGCGAGGTCCCCGATTTTTCTTAGAATTTTTATTTGGCAGTTAGTTCCCTGCTGGCATCTTAGAAATATTGTGATCGTGGAGCGGTGGCTCATGCCTGTAATCCCAGCACTTTGAGAGGCCGAGGCAGGCAGATCATCTGAGGTCGGGAGTTCGAGACCAGCCTGGCTAACATGGTGAAACCCCGTCTCTATTAAAAATAAAAAAATTAGCCAGGCGTGGTGGCTCATGTCTGTTATCCCAGCTACTTGGGAGGCTGAGGCAGGAGAATTACTTGAACCTGGGAGGCGGAGGTTGTGGTTGTAGTGAGCCAAGATTGCGCCACTACACTCCAGCCTGGGCGACAGGAGACTCTGTCTGCAAAAAAAAAAAAAAAAAAAAAATTGTAATGGAGTCGGTGGATCTCCCTATGTAGGTGGCCACCTCTGGACAGGGAGTTCTTTTACTTACAGTTTACTGAACCCAGCCTTGGTGTCCAGTGCCACCATGAGTCCACACCAGTTCTCGGGGCAGCTAACTTCGTAAGCCTCAACTCCTTTATTTTATTCTTCTTCTGATGCGGAGGAGGGTGGAGGTAACTGCTCTGCCTTCGTCCTCCCTGAATTTGGTGGCACCAGCCCATCCATCAGCAGTGGGCCTAGCTCTCCTCCCATGGGCCTGGGCCGGTTTTTGCACCTGCCTCAACCCATGGAATAGAGCTGGAGTGAATTCCAAGGCTAGATCATAAACACGTCACACCCCGGCCTTGTGTTGAGATACTTAGCCTCTGATAAGGTTTGGCTGTGTCCACACCCAAAATCTCATCTTGAATTGTAATCCCACAAGTCACGGGCAGGACCAGGTGGAGATAATTAAATCATGGGGGCAGCTTCCTCCATGCTGTTCTCGTGATAGTGAAAGGAACGAGATCTGATGGTTTTATGAGGGGTTCTCCCCTTTGCTTGGCACTCGTTGTCTCTCCCGTCGCTCTGTGAGGAGACGTCTCCTGCCATGATTGTGAGTTTCTTGAGGCCTCCCCAGCCATGTGGAACTGTGAGTCAATTAAACCTTTTTTCTTTATAAATTACCCAGCCTCAGGCAGCTGTTTACAGCAGCATGAGGACAGACTAACACATACCCTCAGAACCCAGCCACGAGAGTGAGAAGGCCACAGCCGTGTGCGGAGGTTTTGGGCTGCAAACTTCCACCTGCAAATTCACATTCACCTGGAGCCTATTCCTGGGACTTTTTTGGAGTAGCTTTTCCAGACAGAATCAAGATAAGATGAGGTTGTTCTGGGTTGGCATGGCCTCTCAATCCAATATGACTGGTGTCCTTATGAGAAGAGGGAAACTTAGATATGAACACACTGGAGAGAAGACCGCCTAAAGACAGCGGCAAAGTGGGACGAGGGAGCGTGAGCTAAGGTAACACAAGCTATGTTAGAGCCACCAGAAGCTGGAGGCAAAAGGAATTCTACCCTAAAGCCTCCAGAGGGAGTCAGCCCTGCTGACAGCTTGATTTTGACTTCAGGCCTGTAAAATGGTGAGAGAGAACATTTCTGCTGTTGTAAGGCACCCATTTTGTGGTCGTTTCGGCAGCTGCTGGAGACCCATCCAGTCCTCAGGTTGTTGTTCTGACAGCCCTGAGGTCCCAGCCGACAGTTTGCACCAACTATAGACAGCAGGTACCCTGGTGACCTACTTTAACATCATCACCTCTGTAGACAGCCTGTCTCCAAACACAGTCCCACTGAGGTCCTGGGGGTTCAGATCTCAACACTGGAATTTAGGGAGACATGATTCTGTCGCCCAGGCTGGAGTGCAGGCGCGATCTCGGCTCACTGCAAGCTCCGCCTCCTGGGTTCACACCATTCTCCTGCCTCAGCCTCCCGAGTAGCTGTAGCTGGGACTACAGGCGCCTGCCACCATGACCCGCTAATTTTTTATTTTCAGTAGACACATGGTTTTACCTTGTTAGCCAGGATGGTCTCGATCTCCTGACCTCGTGATCTGCCCACCTTGGCCTCCCAAAGTGCTGGGATTACAGGTGTGAGCTACGATGCCTGGCCAGCTTCTGCTGTTTTTCTCATTGGGGCTCTTAGTTTTTTCTTTATTTGTAGGATTTCTAAAAGGAATTATATTATTCATTCCTGTCTTACGGGGGAGCCGCAAGCTCAGAGAGGGCAAAGTTGCGCAGCAAGCAGCAGCACCTGAACACGTCTGCCGGCTCTCAGTGCCAGGGAGACGGCCGAGCCGGGACGTTCCCGGCCCCCAAAGTGCTCAGGCTGCAGGTGTGGCCCGATGCCAAACCAGCAGGTGCTCCCACGCCAGGATTTGTTCAAGACACAGCTCATCTCCACCATTCCATGAAGCAGGCTTTAAAATCCCCTCTTCTAGACACCCAACACTGAGGCCGGAGCAGGGACCCTACCCAAGCTCCAAGGCACCATGGCCAGCTGGGGTTCACATCAAGGGCTGGGGCAGATGCTCCAGCTCTGCCCCCACCCAGAGACACTTCTGTCTCCCCACGGGGTCCTCGGGGGTAAACCAGCCACTCCTGAGGGTGCAAGCACAGAGCATCTGAGCGACGTCCACAGCTACTGCTTTTAAGACTGTTTCCCAGGACAGCGACACTGCCCCACAGCCAGCTTCTGGTAGCATCGAGGGCTGGGACCTCCACCCCACCAGCCCTGCCACCTGCCTCCTCATGTCATCTCAAGCTGCTGGCGGTGCCTTTCTTGAGGAACACTACATCCTGATCTGCCCACACCCCCCTGGCAGATGCTGTCCACGGCGGCCTTCTGTGCACCTCAGAGCATTTGTGTCCCCATGCACAGAACGGTGATGATTCCCAAGACCCTCGGGTGACTGCTCTGGGCTTAGGTCCCCAGTGATGACCTAGGACCCCAGCCTCACCTCCCTCCTTCCCACCCACTGATGCCCTGCGGAGCTCTCCTGTCCAAGAGGGTGAAACCCACACCTGCCTGGCCAGGAACAGCCCCAAGAGGATCCTGCTTCTATCCAGAGGGTCTTGGAGGCTGACAGATGCTCAAGAGGTGGGGCCAGGCTTGGTTTGGGGCTGGGCTGTGGCTCCTTCCCCCACATCCTCAGCGGCCTCTGCCGTGGGCAGCAGGGGTGGTTGTGCTGCCTGGCCAGTGGGGTGGGGATTCAGGGAGCCACACGGCAAAGCACAGCAGTGACCTCTTTATTTCAGGCTGGGTGGGGGCAGCATGTGACAGTTAAAGAGGGCTGACCCTTGGGCTGCACGGACCTGGAGAAGATGCCCAGGGTCCCGGAATGTTCACGGCCCACAGGCAAGGTGAGCAAGGGGCAGGGAATGTCCTGGGCTCAGAGCCCTGGACCCCGCAGGGATGTCCCCGCCCATCAGCGAACAGCACAGCCTCCCACCAGGTGCACCCCGGGCACCAGCCGGCCCTTGTTCCTGATCCAGACAAGAAACTAGTTCATGGGGCTACAACTCCCCTTCTAGGGGTCACAGGGGACAGAAACTGGACTACCGTCTCCACCGCTGGCTGGCTCAGGGACCCCTCTTCCCTGACGCTCCCCAGGAGCTGCCCCAGTGAGGCGCTGAGCAAACCCAGCCAGATGCTCATCGCTGAGCCCGCACCCACTGGAGCCCGCAGCTTCCCTTCTTGGGGCCTCTCTGAGGCCTGCACAGGTGAGCAGGTTCCTCCTGGAGCTGATTCAGCCCCACTCTATTGGGGCAGAGGTGCCAACCCCAAGCTCCAGGGTTAGATGTGAGGTGGGGAAGGGGCAAGAGCCGGAGAGTACACCACAGTGGACAAGCCCCCGCCGTGTGCAGAGCAGCGTGAGGCTCCAGGATGGTCCTCAGTAGACCCCGTGGCTCTAGGTGCAGGAGAGATGGCCCTGGGAGGCGAGGCCGGGCCCTGCAGGGGCCCTGGGGTCTGGCTCTACTACTTGGCCAGGCCTCCCTGGGGCAGCAGCTCCACGTAGCTCAGGGCACTCTGCAGTGATGTCAGGCAGTAGCCCTCCTCTCCGATTAGGTACCTGCACGGATGGCAGGGGCAGCCGGTGTCATCTGGAGGAACAGAGGGACACCCCCGGCCCTCCAGACGGCAGTGTCTGCCCTCCCAGTTCAGGATCTGGGTGCTGAGGGTGTGCAGGTGGGGCTGTCAGGGCGGCTGGGCTAGAGGGGGCCTTTCCCAGCCACTCTGTGCTTGTCCTTGGACGGCAGAGCCAGGGATGCCCCTCGATCCCCTGACTGTCCCCTCCCCAGGCAGATGTTGCTTGGGGCAGCCCCCAGCTCCTGCTGTTGGGGAGAGGCTGAGCTAAGCGAAGGCACGGGACATGTGGCAGCAGGCACTCTGCAGGTAGACCCACAGGGGCTGTCCAAAGGCGTGGCTGTGACGGAGCCACACACTGCCCTCCCAGATGCCACTGACAACCACCGTTTAGGTTGAGGGATGAGGTCCCTGCTCTTCCCACAGAGACCCCTGCCCTGCCCCCGCCGGGCTCTACCCCTCATGGATGAACTCCTCCAGGGCCGCGCACTCTGACACCAGCTGAGGGAGGCCGCTCCTTAGCACCACGAAGGACAGGATGGGCAGCAGGTCGTCGGCACCACTGTGGGGAGGGCACAGTGGCCGTGGGTTGGGGCCAGGGGCCTCTCACTCCACAAACCCAGCAGCTGTGGAGCCATCCTGGCCGTGCTGGCCGCAATCTCTGTGCCCTCCTGTCCCGAGGCACAGGAAGCCCCCTGGGTGTGGTGAGGCTGTCCCTAAACTGCACTGCGGAGCCAGGGCTGGGCCCACACGGCCCCTCCTGCTTGTACAGTGCAGCCGGCTGGCACGAGGCTAAGGGGCAGGAAGACAGTCCCTCCTGTGACCATTGCCTTTCTATGGCCCTTCCTCCCTGGCCACACCTCACCCTCCTGGGACTCACATGGCAGCTGCAGCGATGGGCTGGGGCCCGGCCTGGGGTGTGGCCTCTGGCGTGGGGCAGTAGTCTTCCGCGCAGACACAGATGACCCGCAGGGTCCGCACTGCACCACAGGCAGCGTTTCAGGAGCAGCCTGAGCCACCCCTGATACCTCGCCCACCCACCCGCCCACATCCTGGTGTGCAGGGCTGGGAAGAGCTGCAGTGACCCTGGGGACACTGCTCAGACTCCACTTTGTCCTGGTCTCCCCCCTCCCCACCGGCACGTGACAAGAGAAGCTCAGTGATGAAGACACAGGCTCCAGGTCACCTACTGGGATGGGAGCCTGCCCCTCCCCCTGCTGACCTATGCACTCCAGCTTCTTCTGGGGGCAGCTCTCCAGGACCAGCAGTCCAAGCTCCTGGGCCGCAGCGCAGTAGGGGTAGCCAATGGCCCCCTTGGCCTCAGGGTTCTGGGGGAGGAGCTTGGTGGGGATGCCAATGGCGGTGGGGGGTGCATTCCTGTAGAGCTCCATGCTCCTGCTCAGGGCAGCCTCCCGGGCTCGGTGCACACTCCTGGGGCAGAGAGAGACCAGGCTAAGCTGCCCCAGGGACCTTGCCCCAGGGACAGAAGCAGGGCTGTGGCTGGAGCTCAGGCCTGGAGAAAACTGACGATGTATCCCAAGCAAAGAGCTCCAGTGTTCGCAAGACGCCAGGCACGGGAGGGTGCCCACAGTCCTACCTGCAAACTGGAAGCGCCTGAGGATGGCCTCAGGGAAAGCCACAGGCTAGGGGGCATTGAGGGGAGCAGACAGTGCCAGGGAGCAGGGCAGGCCTCCTGGGAGACACCAGGCCACACGAGTGGTTGTACGGCTGGGCCCATACCTGTACAGGGCCAGCAGCAGAGGCCACAGCGGGGAGAAAAAGGGCTCCTCAATGCATGCCAGGCAGCGGTCCTTGGAGGCAGCTGTGTTTAGGCCTTCAAAGGCCAGAAGGGTCAGCGAGAGCAGCCTGTCTGCTGGGAACAGAGCCAGACACGTCCACATAGGTTCCTCCCCTGCCGGGTCAAGTGGCTCTAAGCCATGGGGCCTTCTTCCGCCCAAGCAAGCTCTCTGAGAGGCAGACCAACTGGCAGTGTCCAGGAGCAGAGGGGAGAGGGCCCTGTTTGGTCCTCTTTCCACCGCCTTCAAGCCTCCTGCACCCACTCCTACCCTCCTGGCCCAGGGCAGGGAGTCTGGGACCAGAAACTGAGAAAACACCGGAGAATGATCCCTTTCTCAAAAGGGCCTTTACCCAAAACCGCAGGGACCAGGGGAGCCTTTAGAATCAACCCCTGTGGGTGGGGACCCTGGCCAAGTTCCTCAGTGTGTGGGCAGCACAGCGAGATCGCCGCTGGGGGGGCTGTCGGGGGCCCTCACTGGTTCTTAGAAAACTCTAGGCCGGGCGCGGTGGCTCACGCCTGTAATCCCAGCACTTTGGGAGGCCGAGGTGGGCAGATCACCTGAGGTCATGAGTTTGAGACCAGCTTGACCAACATGGTGAAACCCCGTCGCTACCAGTCTATTTCCAAAATGAGAAGGGCTGAGGCGTAGGCTGGTGGACATGAGTCTGATCAGAGGCTCTGATTGACAGACCCTTCCCCAAACAAGCTTGAAATGGACCAGCAAGCAGGGGTGGAGAGCTGCGGCCGCTCTCCCAGGGAGGGCCTGGCCTCACCGATGGCGTTGTGGATCTCCTCCACCGCGCTCTTCAGCTGCTGCAGCTGGGGCTCCGGCTGCACCCCACGGCCCTGGCCCTGCCGCTCAGACGTCCCCAGGAACTGCTCCAGGTCCTCGAATGAGCTGTCCTTGTCCGGCAATCCAGATGCGGTGTCCCCCAGGGGCGAGGGAGGCCCCACGGGGCCGGGCTGGAGTGGGGGCGTGGGGGGGCAGTCCTGGGGCCGCGGGGCCGCGCTGGGCTCGGGCGGGGACAGCATGCAATGGAGGCTCTGCGAGGGCCGCAGCCGTCGGCTTCCGGGGTTGGGGGTCGGGGGGCAGCAGCCCGGGGCTGGCGCGGCTGCTCTGCTCACGGCGGGGTACAGGGCGCTGTACACGGCGCACTGCAGCCGCCTCAGGAGCTGCGCGATCGGGTGGTCGGGGAGGCTGCGGGAGAGGAGGGCGTGAGAACGCGGCCAGCCCCGGCCTCCCCGTGGCATCCACAGGCGCTGCGCTACGCCCGGTTTCAGAGAAGTGACTCGCGTTACCTCCTGACAGTGAATGTTGGAAAGTCTGCCCCCGCCCGCGCTGGGGAGGTTAGAGAAGCCGAGAACCGCCCTCGGCGCAAAGGGAGCTGCGGTGTCCACGTGGCCGGGGCACAGGGTCCCTGGGTCAGTCCAGCCCGTCTCCGGCACCTGGCACCAGGGAGAGGCGCCCAAGGCCGGTGCGCAGGGGCTCTGCGGGGCCTGAAGGCCCAGCTACCTGAGCAGGTGTGAGACCAGGCTGGTCACGAGTGACAGGTCCCCCGGGCTCCTCTTGAGCTTGGCCTTCCAGTGCTTCGGCCAGTCCTATGGGACAAGTGGCCTTGAAGGAAAGCACAGTGGGTCCGCCACGACCGGACGCGCCTCACCTCCCACCAATGCCGACCCCTAGAGACTGTGGGAGCCCGTCCTGGGTGCAAGAAACCCAGCGCCAGCGCCCCGCCCCCGCCCCCACCCACACCTGAAGGAGACCTTAGGTGAACCTGGCCCTGCTCCCTTGCTGGGACCTCCCACGCTGGGACCCTCCCACGCGACCCCTGGTCTGGCCCCCTCGCTAAACCCCGCCCCCACGCAGCCCTGGCCCCGCCCCTCGCTGGGCCCTCCCACTCTGCTCTGGCCCCGCCCCCTCACTGGGCCCTCCCACGCGGCTCTGGCCCCGCCCCCTCACTGGGCCCTCCCACGCGACTCTGGCCCCGCCCCTCACTAGACCCTCCCACTCGGCTCTGGCCCCGCCCCCTCGCCGGGATCCTCCTACAAAGCCTGGGCCGGAGGGGGACGCACGTGGTCCTGCTCGTACTCCAGGACGGCGGCGTAAAGGGCCCGCTGCTCCCGTTCCTCCGGGGTCAAGGCGACCTGGCTGCAAAACCTCCTGGGGAGAAAGGCACGTGGTGGGTCCCCGGGCCAGGCCCTCCCCGCCGCCGCCCCAGGGGCGGGTAGGAATCCCACCTGTTGGCGGCCTCCTGGAGCCGCAGCCGGCGCTCCTCCATCTTTCTCTGGAGCTGGGTGCAGAGTCAAGGGGCCGAGCGTCGGATCTGAGCGGGCCCTCGGTTCCCAACCCCGTCCCACACCCCGAGAGGCCGAGACGTCACAGGGACCCCCCCCCCGCAATGAGGGGCTGTCCCCAGGTGAGGCTTCTGGGGCAGAAGGTAGCCTGCGCTCAAGCCAGGAGAGCCGAGCCAGAGAGCCTGGGGGATGGGGGTGAGGACCTTCCCCTGAGGCCATGCCTCTGCAAAGCGGGAAGCCCCTCAGCCCTGTACCCCGACCCTGGAACCTCCGCCCCCCTCGCTGTCCCCTTCTCTGCCCTTGGCTCAAAGCCACACCGAGTTTCCCCTCGGGTGGTCAGAAAGGGTGCTGTCTCCTCCCGGGCTTTGGCGATCACTAGGTTCTCCATCATCTGCCGCTGTAGAGAGAGGGTCTGGGCGGGGAAGGAGGGAGTAAGACCGACGCCCCCCACAGCCCGCGCCGACGCCCCCCAGGCCCTCTGCAGCCCGCACTCACTAGGGACGTCTTCTGCATGGCCTGGCTGGGGTCTAGCCGGGCCATTCGGGCCTCATACGCAGCCTTCAGCTTCTGATTCTGCAGGGAGGCCTCCTCCAGTGGCGTCAGCTCTCTGGAAATGTGACAGAGCTGCTGTCTAGACCTCTAGACCCCAGGAAGCCCAGTGGTGTCTGGCCACCAGAGGAGCCTCTCTCATCCTCCCGGATTGCTCTGAGGCCAGGAGGTGAGGAGGAAGAGGAGGGGAGCTATCTGGCCTGGGCTGCAACATCTGCCCCTTCTTGCTTCCTCTTCCAAAACCCAGATTTTGGCCAGGTGCAGTGGCTCCTGCCTGCAATCCCAGCACTTTAGGAGGCTGAGGCCAGGCGGATCACCTGAGGTCAGGAGTTCGAGACCAGCCTGGCCAACATGGTGAAAGCCCATCTCCACTAAAAATACAAAAATTAGTGGGCTTGATGGTGCACGCTTGTAATCCCATCTACTTGGGAGGCTGAGGCAGAACTGCTTGATCCCGGGAGGCGAGGTTGCAGTGAACCGAAATCTGGCCGCTGCACTTGAGCCGGGGTGATAGAGCGAGATTCTGTCTCAAAAAACCAAAACCAAAACAAAAAACGTTAACAACAACAACAACAACAACAAAAACAGGTTTTGGTATTGCCAGGACTTTTGGCTTTTCAAGAGAAGCTGGACCACTGGACTTCTATGGAGATTAGTTATACGTGTTTGGCAACAGCATGAATCCTGTTAAAGCACGCTTGTGCAACAACCCGAGGGCTGGATGACTTTGAATGTGGCCCAACACAAATTCCTAAACTTCCTTAAAACATCACTGGGGGCCGGGCACAGTGGCTCATGCCTGTAATCCCAGCACTTTGGGAGGACAAGGCGGGCAGATCACGAGGTCAGGAGATTGAGACCATCCTGGCTAACATGGTGAAACCCAGTCTCTATTAAAAATACCAAAAATTGGCCGGGCGTGGTAGCACGTGCCTGCATGCCAGCCTGGATGACAGAGACTGTGTCTCAAAAAAAAAAACAAAAAAACAAAAAAACCCTGTTTTTGCAATTTTTTTTGTTTGTTTTTTTGAGACAGTCTCATTCTGTTGCTCAGGTTGGAGTGCAGTGGCACAGTCTCGGCTCACTGAAACCTCCGCCTCCCGGGTTCAAGTGATTCTCCTGCCTCAGCTTCCCAAGTAGCTGGGACTACAGGTGTGCGCCACCTCGCCCGGCTAATGTTTATAGTTTCTAGTAAAGATGGGGGCGTCATCATGTTGGCCGGGCTGATCTCGAACTCGTGACCTCAGGTAATCCGCCTGCCTTGGCTTTCCAAAGTGCTGGATGACAGGCATGAGCCACTGAGCCCGGCCTTGCAATTTTTTTTTAAAACTCATCGGCTATCGTTAGTGTTAATGTGTTTTATGTGTGGCCTAAGACAGTTCTTCCAGCGCGGCCCAGGGAAGGTAACAGATTGGACACCGCTGCTTTAAAGGCACTATATGGGTCAAACGGCTAGAGCAGTCTGTGACCCGTGAAAGGAAGAAGCGTTCTGCCTCCCTTAGACAGCTCCTAACAGCCACTCCACCTTGAAAGCTTCCGTCCCTCTTACCTTCCTACTGTCAGGGACAGTAGAGGGTGGTGGTGGGGACAAGGAGGAGGAAAGACAGAGCCTGGCTCCTGGCCACCCTGCCCTGAAGCCACACTTGCAGAAACGAGGTGACTGGGAAGCCAGGCGCCACCACAGCAGGGACAGAGTGGGCCCTTCTTGTCTCTCCCACTTGGGATTCATTGGGCTTTTTGCATTTGTGTCTGTATTTTTCATCATGATGTTCTAGACAACTGTCTGCCATTCTAACGTCTAATAATGCCTCTCTCCCATTTTCTTTCTGGAACTCCAGTGAACACGTTAGGCTTTCCATCTCTCTCTTTTTGTATGTGTGTGACATAGTCTCACTCTGTCACCCAGGCTGGAGTGCACTGGTATGATCTAGGTTCATGGCAACCTCCGCCTCCTGGGTTCAAGCGATTCTCCTGCCTCAGCCTCCCTAGTAGCTGGGACTACAGGCACCCGCCACCACGCCCGGCTTTTTTTTTTTTGAGACAGAATCTCGCTCTGTCGCCCAGGCTGGAGTGCAGTGGCCGGATCTCAGCTCACTGCAAGCTCCGCCTCCCGGGTTCCCGCCATTCTCCTGCCTCAGCCTCCCGAGTAGCTGGGACTACAGGCGCCCACCACCTCGCCCGGCTAGTTTTTTGTATTTTTTTTTAGTAGAGACGAGGTTTTACCGTGTTAGCCAAGATGGTCTCGATCTCCTGACCTCGTGATCCGCCCGTCTCGGCCTCCCAAAGTGCTGGGATTACAGGCTTGAGCCACCGCGCCCGGCCAATTTTTGTATTTTTAGTAGAGACGGGGTTTCACCATATTGGCCAGGCTGGTCTCGAACTCCTGACCTTGTGATCCGCCCGCCTTGGCCTCCCAAAGTGCTGGGATTACAGGCGTAAGCCACTGCGCCCAGCTCCATCTCTTGTTTTCTGTCTTTAATTTTTGTTTCTGTGATTCATTCTGGATATCTTTTGACCTTTTTTCCAATACATGAATTTGCTCTTCAGCTATGTCTGCTATGCTATTATAAACTTGTCTGCTCACTTTTGTACGTATGCATGTACTTAGACATATATATGTAATTTATTCTTGTTCCCAGCTAATTTTTTTTTTTTTTATTAGAGTCTCGTTTTGTTGCCCAGGCTGGAGTGCACTGGCACCATTACGGCTGCACCCTCAACCTGTCAGGCTCAAGTGAGCCTCCCACCCTCCCACCTCAGCCTCCCTAGTAGCTGGGACTACAGGGGCACACCACTATGCCTAATTTTTTTTTTTTTTTGAGATGGCGTTTTGCTCTTGTTGCCCAGGCTGGAATGCAATGGCGTGATCTTGGCTCACTGCAACCTCCACCATCCAGACTCGAGTGATTCCCCTGACTCAGTCTCCCAAGTAGCTGGGATTACAGGTGCACGCCACCACAGGCAGCTAATTTTTGTATTTTTAGTAAAGACAGGGTTTCCCCACGTTGGCCAAGCTGGTCAGGAACTCCTGACCTCAGGTGATCTGCTCGCCTCGGCCTCCCACAGTGCTGGGATTACAGGCGTGAGCCACCGTGCCCAGCCTGCATTTGGCTGTATCAGGCAAGAGGATATTCCCATTCCGGGACTCATTTTTTAAAAATTCACTGTGATCACCTCATTTTCCTCAGCCTCAAAAACCCAATCCCAGGCTCAGCCCAACTCCCGTCTTGCCCATCTTACTTCTTAGAGCTTTGTGACTCTGCCCCCTGAAGCTTCTGGAAGATCTCGGGTGGCAGAAAAGGAGAGAGCTTCCCTCCCTCGTCGGAGTAGACGCGGCGGTGTCTGCCGGCAGGCTGGGGGATGGGAGCAGCGGCAGGCATGGTTGGCTTCAGGCGTGTTTTCCCTGCAAGCCATTGGTAGCCAGAGGTCAAGCGGTGGGCCCACATCCCACAGAGGAGATGCAGGCTTGGGGGATGCCCCAGGAGAGCCGCCTACTGCAGGAGACCCACCAAGCTTGGTGGCCGTTGACTGGGCCCTCTCCAGACACTGCTGCGCTAGCTTCAGCATCTTGGAGGTGTCCGGGGGCACAGTCTCCCTAGCTTCTGGAGGAGGGACAAGAAGGCTGGTCACAGTTGGCTCTATCACCGTTACCTATTGCTGAGATAAAATGAGGCAATGGAAAAGCCAGGCAAGCCCACTGCCCCCCAACCCCTCACTGCCCCTGGGCAAGCCCACTGCCCCCCCATCCCCCACTGCCCCCCATGGACCCTGGGCAAGCCCACTGCCCCTTCCACTCCCCACTGACCCCGGGCAAGCCGACTCCCTCATGGACTCCAGGCAAGCCCCCTGCCCCACCGTGGACCCCGGGCAAGCCCCCCCACCCACTCATCTCTAATCATCTGCCCTGGTTTTGCCTCCTGAGCCTGCTAAGTCTGTGTGTCCCTCATCAAGGCCTGTCAGAGCCTAGACCCTAAATGGGAAGTGGCTGTTTTACAGAGACAAGGACGTGCTGAGGGGAACTGCCTCACCCGTCTCCCACTGGCTGTGTCCCTAAAGTCCTTCCTTCCTGTAGGCTTGGCATGGAGCACCTCTGCATGTGACCACGGGCCTGCTCACACAGCCCTTCTGCACACGTGGGAACTGCCTCTGTGACTCACCCCTGGACCCACTGCCCCAGCGCCTGACCCACCTCCCTGCTGCCTTTCACAGAAAACTTCTCACAGACTCCCATTTTCTTATCTGGCCCCGATTTCGGAAACTGCCCTTACCCATCCCCACCTTGCCAGATACGGTGGGCCACAGGCGTTCCTCTGTCTTCTGGGACTTTGCTCTCCCCAGGGGATCCTCTGCCACTCCTCCACCCAACTCCTCAATCTTGGAGCGCCAGAGCTCAGCTGAGCTCACTGGTTCCCTAGGGAGCTGGGGCAACTGTTAGCTCCCCCTGACCTCTGTGCTCCTATGTCCAGTGGCTGGTGGCCCCCTCAAACTTAATGTGTTCATCATGGAACTTTCTGTTCCCCCCCTCGCCAGTCTGCTCCTGTCACCATGTGCCTCCTGCAAGTCTATTCTGTTCCACCCTCAGGACACATCTCCAGACCGTTTACTGCTCCCATCCTGGGTGGTCCGGCCACTGCCATCCTCAGTCCTCACCTGAGGCTCCGCTTCCAGGCTGGTCTCTCCCTCAAAGCCTCTTCAAGTTTTCCTTCACACCAGAACAGCCCCAGTTCCACCCAAGGCATGCACACAGCCCCACCCCGCCCACTCCTATTTCAGGGCCTTTGCACACCCCACTGTTGGAATGCTGCCCCACCTCTGTGCCACTCACTGGAGCCAGTGTCTTGCCACACCCCAATCTCCATCCTCTTACCCACAACACTCGTCCCTTCCTGCCACTATATCACACTGAGTGTGGGCCGGTCCACCTGCTACAGATGCTCAGGCTGGAAGGACAGAGGAGCCCCCCCGAAGCCTGGTACTCATCAATGGCTCGGCTGCCACAATTTTTTTTTTTTTTTTTTTTGAGATGGAGTTTGGCTCCGTCACCCAGGCTGGAGTGCAGTGGTGTGATCTTGGCTCACTGCAAGCTCTGCCTCCCAGGTTCACGCCATTCTCCTGCCTCAGCCTCCCGAGTAGCTGGGACAACAGGTGCCTGCCACCACACCCGGCTTTTTTGTATTTTTAGTAGAGACAGGGTTTGACCGTGTTAGCCAGGATGGTCTCCATCTGTTGACCTTGTGATCCACCTGCCTCGCCTCCCAAAGTAGTAGGATTACAGGCGTGAGCCACCGCGCCCAGCCTAGGCTGCCCACAATTTGTCCAGCATGGAGGGAGCAGCAGGCCTTAGCCATGACTTTTTTCTTTTTTTTTTTGAAAAGGACTTTCGCTGTTGTTGCCCAGGCTGGAGTACAATGGGGTGATCTCGGCTCACTGCAGCCTACGCCTCCTGGGTTCAAGTGATTCTTCTGCCTCAGGCTCCCGAGTAGCTGTGATTACAGGTGCCCGCCACCACGGCCAGCTACTTTTTGTATTTTTAGTAGAGACGGGGCTTCGCCACGTTGGCCAGGCTGGTCTCGAACTCCTGACCTCAGGTGATCCGCCCGCCTCTGCTTCCCACAGTGGTGGGATTACAGGCATGAGCCACCGCGCCCGGCCGGCTGAGCCGTACCTTTAGTGGTTTCCACTTCTTCCAGTAACGCCTGGGAGATATAGTGGATGGTCCTCAGGTATTCTGTGTATGCCTCCTGTGTCCAGGAAAGAGAACAGTGGGGTCAGGCCTGTGGAGGGAAGTGACTCCATCATTCCTTCCGGATCCCCTTGTGGGATAAGCAAGGAACACCCACCACCTGCTTATCTCTGAGATACACCAGAGACACTGAGCCTGCAGTGGTTGGCTGCAGCCGGAACACGGTTTTCTGCCTGGGGCACAGGCAGCATCACTGCTCTGCAGACTTGGAAAACACATCAGAACCTGAGAGAGAGAGAGAGCCAGGGACGAGCTGGACCCCACTTTCTCCTCTCACTGCCTTTCTCTCCAGCACAGGAACTGATGTTCTCATTCAGTGGGCCTGGGGAAGTGACCTCAGCAGTTTGCTGTCATTTTTCACTCTATGCGGCGTTTCCTTCTTGTGCAACTCAAGGGTGATTCACTCAGTGGCTTAAAAAAATACTTCCTGAGAGGATAAAGGGAGTGATACTGGAAGTTTTCAAATCACTTCCCGGCTTAAGTTCTGAGAAATCCCTTTCCCAGAACCCCTGAGTTACGTATTCCCAGTGTACACAGGAGCCTAGAACATGTGACTGTTACGTTTCAAGGCCGTGTGACCCCTCTGACAAGGTGCAGGTCATCGGAACCACATTATGGTGGTTTGTTTTGCTGAGACAGAGTCTCACTCTGTCGCCCAGATTGGAGGACAGTAGCAGGATCTCGAGTCACTGCAACCTCCGCCTCCCGGATTCAAGTGATTCTCCTACTCAGCGTCCCAAGTAGCTAGGATTACAGGTGTGCACTGCCACGCCTGGCTAATTTTTGTATTTTTAGTAGAGACGGGGTTTCACCGCGTTGGCCAGGCTGGTCTCGAACACCTGACCTCAGGTGATCTGCCGCCTAGGCCTCCTAAAGTGTTAGGATTACAGGCGTGAGCGACCGCGCCCAGCAATATGGTGTGTTTGTTTCATCCCCAGCTGTTAAGTTACCTATCTTTAAATCTACGCCTCAGAGAAAAAGACAAAATACAATCCAGGCAGGATTTCTGACTTGTGGAGGCACCTGCTGCCCTAAAAACCAACTTGGGGAAAGCGGCAGATTCAGGAACGAGGCCTCTCCTAGGCACAGGCAGGCTCCTTCCTTCCGTGGGCAGCCGGGCGTGGCTGAGCCGGCTTCTCTACCTGGTCGCCAACCTTAGATTCGGCCCCATCTCAGAAACGGGCCACACCCCTCCGGCCTGCTTTTCCTTTCTAAGGCGACTGCAAAGTCTCACAAACGAGCGGGCATGTGGCCTTCTCTGGATTCCGTCCCCTGTGGCAACCGGATTAAATCTACCATCTCTGCCCAGAAAAGTGCACGAACGCATGGACCTGCTCGTCACACGGGTTTTGGAAGGTGGCCTGGGGACTCTCCCGCTGCATCTCAACAGCTGGAGCCCAGGCTCTCATGCGCCGGCTCAGCGAGCGGACTGCAAAGCCGAGACCGGCAGGATCTGAGCTGTCCAAGGTCACTGCACGCCGGGCTGCGCCCCGCCCCCGTCCTCGCCCGGGAACCGCGGGGGGTCCCCGTTGGCGCCTGCCCCCGCGTCCCCAGCCCGAGCCGGCCCAGTCCTCGCCCTCCCGGGGCGGGGGGTCCCTCCAGGGGCCACCCTCGGCGGCCAAGCCCCGCCCCCGCCCCGCCTCACCCGGGGCCGGTTGCCGGTGTCCAGCTCGATGGCCCCGTTGGCCAACTTCATGGCGCTCTGCAGCGGCTTCACCGTGCCGTCCCCGGCCGCAGCGGCCATGGCGCCGGGCGGGGGAGGCGGCGGCGGTAGCCGAGGGGCGGGGCGGGCGCCCGGGAGCCCGGAACGCAGCCGGCGCGGGTGCGGGAGCCGCCGGAGCGGCGGACCGCCGGAAGGGACGCGGCCGCACTTCCGGCGATGGGCCCCCTCCGCGCGCACTTCGGGCCCCACGGGTGTTAGTGGCGGGGGTGGCAGAGCTAGGGCGGGTTGTCGCGACCGGGCCGGGCCCCTTCGCCGTCTCTAGATGGGGCTGGCGGGAAGGGCCCCTCACGGAGTTGCCAAGGGCGTCTAACCGCAGCAGCCAGGCCCCTGTCTACTTGAGACCCCGGCCCCCGTCCCCTCTGCAGCCCGCCCGCCACCTGCGCGCCGCGTGGCCTCCGCCGGCGCCTGCCCGCCCCGCGCCTCCGTCTCTCACGGTAAGAGGCGGGGAGGGCCGCGTCGCCTCTCCCTGGAGGGCTCGTCGTGAGGTCTCGGCGAGCCCCTCCGCCCAGCGCCCCGCCCCAGGCCAGCGCTCCATTGGCGGCAGCGGCGGGCACGGCCGCTCTCGGGCCGGAGAGGGGAGCGGGTACGAGCGGGGGCGCTGGCACCGCGCGTGGAACCTCGGCCGCGGGGTCCCGCCCCTGGCCCCTGGCCCGCCCCGCCCGCCTCGCTTGGCTTCTCGCTCCGCCCCTCGCCCGCCCCGCCTCGCTTCCAGCGCGCCGAGCGGAGCCGAACGCCGGGTCCTCCAGGAACCTCGAGACGGGCCGAGCGGGGCCGGGCAGCGCCCGCGGGGTTCTCCTGGCGTCCTCCGCTGCCATGAAGCGGGACCTGCTGGGCCGCTTCCTGTCCCCTGGGGCGGCCCGGCAGCGCGGGGCCTCGGGCGGCGGCGGCGGCGGCCGTGCTCGGGGCCGCCCTTCCCTCAGCGGCGGGTCGAGGGTGGACGGGGCGACGGCGCGGCGCGCCTGGGGCCCGGTTGGGCACTGCGGGGACGCGGGCGAGGACGGCGTGGACGAGGCAGGTGGGTCCACGGCCCGGGCGTGGCGGGCGGGGGTCGCGGCGGGGGCTGCGCGTGGGCGGAGCTGCACTGACGCCCGGAAGCGGCGCGGCCTCCCCTCCACCCGGCCGAGCGCGCAGCGGCCTCGGGGCTGCGTCTGGATAGGCGCTGGGCGGCCGGCTCGGTTTTCCCCGTGCTCCGTGGCGCTGGCGTCGCCGGCCCGGCCTCCCCGGCCGCGTGCTCGGTCAGAAGGGACCCGGCGTGAGGAGCGCTGTCACCGCGGGCAGGTCGCCCTTGGGCGCCCGCGCGTGGGAATCGCCCTCTCCGGCTTCGTGTTCTCCGGGAGCAGGAAAGGAGGCGGCACCTGCACTTGGCAGACAGGAAACCGCGGCGTTTCCTGGAGGGCGCAGCGCCGTCCCCGGGTCTCGCGGTCGCTGGGAGGAGGGTGCAGTTCCAGGTTTCACTCGTGAAGCTGTTTCGCTGGGAGGCTTCAGAGGCCTTTGAAATTTGAAAGATTTCTTGGACCAGCGGCCGCATCCCCCACAGGGCGGCTCGTCCCGCCTAGAGCCGCGCGCCCGAGCCGCTTGCTGTGTCCGGGGGCCGCGCGGAGGGCGATGCAGGCGCTGCCCTCGAACCTGGAGTCCGGGACGCCCCGTGCTCGGGAGTCTCCGCCTTTGCCGGCTGCTAACACTTTCTGCCGCTCTGTGCAGGAGCAGGCCGGGCTCTCGCCATGGGTCACTGTCGCCTCTGCCACGGGAAGTTTTCCTCGAGAAGCCTGCGCGGCATCTCGGAGAGGGCGCCTGGAGCGAGCGTGGAGAGGCCGTCCGCAGAGGAGCGCGTGCTCGTCAGGGACTTCCAGCGCCTGCTGGGGGTGGCTGTCCGCCAGGACCCCGCCTTATCTCAGTTTGTCTGCAAGAGCTGCCACGCCCAGTTCTACCAGTGCCACAGCCTCCTCAGGTCCTTCCTGCAGAGGGTCAACGTCTCCCCGACGGGTCGCCGGAAGCCTTGTGCAAAGTACGCCCGAGTCTGTTGAGGGCACGTTCAGGCTGTCAGCACTGCAGTGTGACGGGTGCTGAGAGAGGGACAGGGCATGCCTTGGCGGCAGCCTCTGGGTGGCGGGAATGGGCCATGCCCAGGCTCGGTGTGAATAGGCCTGGGATTGGTGTGGAGAGACGAACTGGGAGGAGCTGGGGTGAGGGAAGAGAAGGTTACCTATGGGGACCGCTGAGGTTTGAGACCTTGAGAGGGTCCCGTACCACACGCGCTGTGAACCTGCGCCTGCTTGTCCTGCTCATGGCCACACTGATCCTTTGCAGGGTCGGTGCCCAGCTCCCAGCAGGGGCAGAGGAGGGAGCGTGTCTGGGTGAGTCCTCCCCCGGTGGAGGGTGGGCTGGGTGCCCACCAGCCATGGAGCTGACATCTCTGTTGACTCTCTGCAGTGGATCTGATCACGTCAAGCCCCCAGTGCTTGCACGGCTTGGTGGGATGGGTGCACGGACACGCGGCCAGCTGCAGGGCCCTGCCCCACCTTCAGAGGACACTGTCCTCTGAGTACTGTGGCGTCATCCAGGCCGTGTGGGGCTGCGACCAGGGCCACGACTACACCATGGACACCAGCTCCAGCTGCAAAGCCTTCTTGCTGGACAGTGCGCTGGCGGTCAAGTGGCCATGGGACAAGGAGACGGCGCCACGGCTGCCCCAGCACCGAGGGTGGAACCCTGGGGACGCCCCTCAGACCTCCCAGGGTAAAGGGACAGGGACCCCAGTTGGGGCTGAGACCAAGATTCTGCCCAGCACGGATGAGGCCCAGCCTCCTTCGGACAGCGACGCTGTGGGGCCCAGGTCGGGCTTCCCACCTCAGCCAAGCCTGCCCCTCTGCGGGGCCCCAGGTAGGAGGCACCTCTTGCTGGTGCTAGACCAGGATCTGTGCTCCTCAGCCGGGCAGGGTTTTCCGCAGAAAGTGGATGTCTCCACTGCTCTAGGTGGTGGCCGGAGCGTGGTGTGAGAAGGAACAGAGCTTGGGGCTTCGACCTGCGGCTGCTCACCACAGCCAGAGAGCAGGGAGGGGCGGCCGGCCTGTCTCGGCCTCTTGCTCTGTGAGCAGGGCTTTGTTCCAGCAGTTTCTGTGGCTCATCAGCCATCTAGTCTTCCTCTAAGCTTGTGCTTGGGGCTGAGGGGACTGAGGAAGAAAAGAATGGGGCCTTGTCTGTGGACGTGGGAGAAGAGAATGGCCATTGCCTCTGTGGCTGCTGCCCTGGGCCAGCTGCAGGTCATTTCCTGGTGCTCAGCCAGCCGCCTGGTGACACCCTGGCGTGGGCCAGTGTGGCGCAGCTTTCTCTGCTGACAGGCTGAGGGGAACACAAGGCCCTTGTTTGGGCCCCAGAACCCTTAGCACTGTGGGCTGGTGCAGCTGCTTCTGGATGTTGTGTTAGGAGGGCTGGGGCCAGTTTCCCTCCGGCCTCTTGTCGTGCGTGTGGTCTGCGTACCTGTCCCCACCTGGGCACTCAGCCTCCACCTTGAGTCCTCAGGGGAGCTTCCAAAAAACGTAGCTACCTGTTATCCTAGACTTTGGGAGGCTGAGGTGGGCGGATCACTTGAGGTCCGGAGATCAAGACTAGCCTGGCCAACATAGCAAAACCCCATCACTAATAAAAATACAAAAACTAGCTAGGCATGGTGGTGGGCACCTGTAATCCCAGGTACTCTGGAGGCTGAGGCATGAGAATCACTTGAGCCTGGGAGGCAGAGGTTGCAGTGAGCCGACATCGCACTGCTGTACTCCAGCCTGGGCGACAGAGCAAGACTCCGTCTCAAACAAAAACTCAGCTACCCAGATAGTTCAGAAAGATATGGGTGCACAGATGAGACAGTGTGGTTTGGGGGCCTTGGGTAGGAACAGGATTGTGAGTGTCACGTCTTAGAGCTGCTTGGTTTTTAAACTTGTATGCAGTATGTTGACAACAATACTACCTCTTTACTTATCTTTGTATGTATTTTTGTGACAGAGTCTCGTTCTGTAGCCCAGGTTGGAGTGCAGTGGCGCGATCTTGGTTCACTGCTACCTCTGCCTCCCGGGTCTTGGTTCAAGCATTT